CACCAGTGCCTGGCTCCGCGACCCAGGTCGCTCCTCCGCGCAGCTCCGTGTGGCGCCTGCCCGAGGTCGTCCACCCTGGCAGCGCCTGCCCCGTCCGCCAGTCTAAGGACCGAGAGAGGGAGGAAGGCGGGGAGGAGGCGGGCTAGGCCCTCCCAGCGGGTCCCACCCACCCGCGCCGCGGTCCTGGGGGACTCTTCCGCCGGCACGGCCTCTCCTGCCACCTCCACTTGGTCCGGATCTCTCCGAGCAGGGCCGGGGCCTGAGGATCTCCTGGCAGACTTCGACGAAGAGGGGTGTGGAGTGCGAGGCCCGGGTGTGTGGGAGAAGGAGCCTTGAGCTGTGGTCTGAAAAATTAGGTTTGCGATTCAGACGTGCTTCTTTGGGACTCCTGCCCCACCACCTGGTCTTGGTCTTGGACCGATCATTCACGGCCTATGAGTCCAATTTTCACATAAGAAAACAGGGATATCAATAATACAGATATCATGGGATAGTCGGGGAAATTTCGTGATAATATGCCTGAAAATAACAGAGCATGGTGCCTGGCATCGTGAGTATAAACGGTAGGCTCCAGCTGTATGACCCTTGGTAGAGGACTGAACTACTTGGAGGTCAGTTTCCTCATAAACAAAATTGTGGAGCGCTTGCCTTGCATGCAAGAGTCCCGGCTTCAAGCAAAAAAACCAGAGAGTAGAGAGGGAGAGCAGGTGAGAGAGATTAATTTAGTTCCCAAAATTGCATGAAGAAAAGAAAATGAGCACAAAGTGCCTTATACAGCCATACAATCTTATAAGATGCCCATGAAAAGATCACCGTGAAAGCCTTCACTAAACTCCTGCCTGCCGGGCAAAAATAAATTCTTCATTAACTGTCTTTGTAACTAAGAGCAGGTTGCTGTCTCTCTTCCAGCCTCAGTTCAATCATTTGTGAACTAAAGATGGACCACTAATAGAGACTGCGGAGGTCCTCGGGGTCAGATGAGCGTGTAAAAATAACCTGGAATCTGTAAAATACTAATCAAAATAAATACAGCATTCTTCCCCTGAGGCTCAGGGGTTCAGTAGCACAGTTTTGTGCTAGTTAGAAAAGGAGGAATCAGAAAAATTGGAGTAAACATTTTATAAGCAGCCATTCCTTTGGTGACACTTAACTGGAAACAAACCCACTTTCTTACCTTCCAACCAACCAACCGTGAAAAAGAGGCATCACTCATCGGGGGGGGGGCACTTAGAAATAGGTGTTTGTCTGAGCAGACCAATGAGGAAAAGTCACGCTCCATGGTGCAGACATGTCTGCCAGAGATCATCTGGGAACAGAGTCGAGGATACATTTCTTTGCTCATCTATGCCCCTCTCTTAGGGTGCCCTTGCCTACATCTATAATGATCATCCCTTCTAAGGTGCTGCCTCAGAGATGGTGGAAAAGCTTGGGCCCTGCTCTCAGAGAGCATCCAGTCTAGCCGGGCTAACCAGAAGGAATGTTCTCAGCCAAGGATAGAACAGATTGATTTGGCACTCAGGAGGCTGAGGCAGGAGGATCACCATGAGTTTGAGGTCAGCCTGGGCTACACAGTGAGTTCAAGGCCGGCCTGAACTACATAATGAGATCCTATCTCAAAACAAAAAAACCCCAAACAAACAAAAAAAACCTCAACAAGTTAGTATCTGGGCAGCAGGAGGGTTTAGTTCCTTTCCACCTCCGAAGATTATTCCTTAATCCCAGATTCCATGATCTTCAACACCCAGAGGCCTATAAAGCTTTCAACTGACTTGCTGTATGTTTTCCCTTTCACTGTATGCTTTCATACACTTTTCACTGTATATTTTCACTTTGTAGTATATAGCCAGAGACAAGTCACATTGGATAGGGTGGGAAAGGAGGACAGTTTACTGCATGCGTGGGGATCAGAGGAGATATGAGGAGGAAGGAAAGGTCGATGAGAAAGGCAGGGCAATGTTTTGGAAAGAACTCATTCCATAGTGAAGGAAGGGAATAGCTTTGGAGCAGGGATTCGCAAAACACCTTCCCAAAATGGCCCCATCCCAAACAATACTGTGGTGAAAAGTCCCTCTATGGTCCCAATATTATTATTTCTTCTCTGGAGGGAGAAGGGGTGGGGATGGAGTTAGAACAATTAATAATGATTAATACCTGTTGCAAAATTAATATGTGCCTTGTATGTGGTATATGGTTTACATAACTCATGTCACTGAATCTTTGAAATTTCCTTGTGAAAAAACCATGATAAGCATCCTTATTTTAAAGACGGGGAACCTGAGGCACAGGGATCATATGATTTGTCCAAGGTTATAATCTAGTAATGGAGCCAGGATCCAAACCTGCATGGCATAACCCCAGACCTTGGACCCATATCTACTATTCCCTTTTTTTTTTTTTTTTTTTTTTTAGGCAGGGTCTCATATGTAGTTGAGACTGACCTGGAACTCACTGTGTAACCCAGGCTGGTCTCAAACTCACAGCGATCCTCCTGCCTCAGCCTCCTGAGTGCTAGGATTACAGGCATGTGCCACCACACCAGGCCCCTACTATACCATCTTGCTTCAAGTCAAATTCATAACATGGGGTTCTTGGTCACTTGAAATGAATCACCTAGAGACACTTGGGCTGGGGAATAGACTGCTTGCCGAGTATGCATGAGGCCCTTGGTTCCATCTCCAGCATCCCTCCTCTCAAATTCCCAGATTCTGATGCTTACTCCATACCAACTGAATTACTAAATACCAAATGCCAGTGTCTAAGAAGAAAGCTCTGAATTTTCCAGTGGTCTAGTTCTCACCTCTGCTCCCATCCCATGTTGGTTGAGTGGTTTTTTACCCAGCTAGGCTGAAACCTCCTGTTCAGAAAGAACGGCCTCCCCTTCCTTCCTTTTTCAGCACTGGGGTTTGGCTCAACTCCAAAGGACTCCCCAGCTGTCCAGGGTGGACAGGACTCTTGTGGAACTCATGTCTTGGGCACACTGCCTGCCAAAGAGAGTAGCTGGCAGCTGCCACTCAGGCCCATTCCTCCTGCTCTGACAGAAGGCCACAGCAGGATCCCTTGAATCAGGCAGGACATGTGGCTCTGGACAAAGAACCTCTAGCCTCAGTTTCTCTCTAAATAATAAAGGAACAATTGGCTTTGTCTCTGCTCTTTCCTCCTCCCCAGGAAATATGCAGAACACAAAGTAGATTTTATCAGAGGGAATTCTGGGATCAGGAGAAAGGCATTTATGGGAGGGCTACCCTCAAGAAACCACAAGAATAGGAAGAATAAGAGGAATAATGCGGATAAGCAATGAGCTTGAGAGAGCTGGAACCTGGCTTTTGCCAAGCTTAGGAATTCAGCTGGGACAATGTGGACTCATTGCCATTGCTTCTGTATCTTTCACTGTGATGCAATTCCCAAAGTCCTGACTTTCTAGCAACCACCTCTTCCTGAGGAGGAGAGGTTTCCTTGCTGCAGCACACACAGATGTGGGCTCTTTAGGCTAGACCATGTTCACAAGTGCATCTGCCTACTTGAAACAAAACAAAACAACAACAACAACAAACCTACATGCAAATGCTCACAGAAAAAGCAAGAAACCTGGAGCAGGACAGACCTGTGTTTAAATCTTGACCTTTTCATAATCGGTGTGAACTTTGCAAGTTAACTAACCTCTCGAGTTTTGGCTGTTTTATAATAGGACAGAGAAGAGGCTGGAGGTATAGCTTAGTGGTAGAACTCTCGCGTGACGTGTGTAAGATGCTGGGTCCAATCCCCAGCCTTTGATTAAAAACAAACAAACGATGGGACAGAGAATTGTCATTTTATAGACCCTGACATGCTATGGGAAGTGAATGAGACAATTAGGAATTTAAATCTTGTAATGTGCTGAATGGATTTCAGGTGCATAGACATGAATATACACTTGTATATTTTGTGTGATTTTACACTTGAGCACATTTACATCCAGACAACATATCCGAGCCTGCCCAAGAACAAGTGCAGAAGCACTGTCTTGCTAGGCAAGGCTGTGGCTCAGAGCAGCCCCACTTCCCCAAACCCTGGTTTATCAACCTGTAGGCCTCTTCTGGTTTGTTTTTACTCACCCCAGGTCCCAGGAGACTTGCAAGGAGCACAATAAAAGCTCAGCCAATCTGGCACTATGCCTTACTTCCCTTCCACATAAAGGCTGTCTACCCGCCAGGCATCTGGCCTCAAAGCCTGGGCCAGGACCTGCTTAGCATCTGCAGCTTTGCTTAAAAGACCTGCTAACAGGAAAGTGTCTGGTTCCTTTCCACCCCAAACAGGAAGTGCCTGCCACAGTTGGGAGGACGGGGCAGCCTGTTCATTTCCAAGGAGACTCCTACTGTAGCGCTGCAGTCTCAGGGTAATTGTTGGGGGGGGGGCTGCTCTCTAGGAAGGTCAGGGAAACTGGCCTCCAGGGACATCTCCCTGGGGAGGGGATAGAGCAGTGACAATGGCTACATGTTGCCTGTGGCACAAAGTGGCTGTCATCCTTTCAACAAACACTCAAATGGAACGCTTACTTTGTGCCCCATAGGAGATAGGCGAAAGTGCTAGATGATGTCTAGAAGCTTGAGGAGTTTACAGGCAAGCAGGAAAGACAGCTCATGCTCTTTTTGTTGTTGATTTTATTTATTCATTCATTCATTAAATATAAGATCGATTACCCACCTTCTTTTAAAAAAATCTATTGTTTCAGTCAATGTACTAGGTACTAGAGGTTCAGAGGGGAATGATTTATGCTATCCAGTCACAGAACAAATTGGCAAAATATGAAAGCCTTGAATTATGTGGTCGGCACAACTGTGAGTTCCACGGGATTTCATTATGGTCTGGATTTTACTTTGGCCTGAGCAATAACATTCCCCTGCTTCCCCTCCTGCCTCCTGATGTCTTCTATATGTTCAAAACCATAGCCAGAGAAATCCTGGTAAAGGAGATCAGGCCCCTGCTTAAATGGCTCCCTCAAATGGTTTCCCCTCTCACCCTAGGAAAATCTAGTTTTTACAATGTCCTTACGAAGCCTACTGATTGGGAAGCTGTTCAGTGACTGGAGGCAACTCAGAAATTATCAATGTCAACATGACACTATCATCAATAGGCTGAAGGCACAAAGGGAGGAGGCAGATTATGGAGTCCAGGAGCCAGAGTCACCAATAGAAAATGGAATGCTGGACATTTCCTGAGGAAAGGAGGGGACAAAATAGCCCTCCATTCTCCTCTCTTTCTTCCTCTCTTTCCATCTAATTTTCCACTAGGTCTGGTTGGAAGCGATGGCCTGAGGGAATTTTCAAATTTTAGTATGTGTTGGGGAATTGAGCCCAGGCTAGCACTTGTACCACTGAGCCACACACCAGCCTGGCTTGAGGGGATTTCAGACTATGGAACAACACTACCTGCAGGGGGCAGCTCCTCCTGTGAGGAATAGATCAGGGGCAAAAAGGCCCAGAACCAAGACCTTCTGAGAAACATGCTGCTAATGCTGATGTATAACATGTCCCTGCTGTCCTCCCTCAGGATGCAGACTGGGGTAGGACGGTGAATGTCCAGGAAACAGGATCGTGCAGTATGAAGAATAACTGGGTGAAGATGAAAGCTTGTTGCAGAGACATGATTTTTAGTGGAATCATCTAAGGGAAAGGCCTGGAAGGAAGGAAGGTGGAGGAGTCAACATGAGTGTGTTTGCGGTGAGAAGAACCCGGGGTAGAGAAAGCTGTCCCGGAGCAGTGCCGACATGGAAGGAGTTCGCTGTTTCAAGTTTGGAAGATCAGGACACTGTGGAAAGATCACTAAGCTTACTTAGTTCAAAGGCCTGGTAGGGGCTCTGCTTCTGTGCTTATTGTCTGTGGGAATGTGGAAAAGAATTTTACTTGCCTGAGCTTTGGGGTTCTCATCCACAAAAATGAGGAAAACAGCACATGTATTTCACAAGCCTGTCTCTGTTCAGAAAGATAAAGTATATAGAAAATTAAATGTTACTCCTTTGACTTCCTCAGAAGTTCCTCCACTATTTTAAATTTAATATCCCAACTCCTCTGTAAGGCACACAAGTCTCTTCAGGAGGTGGCACTTTATGTATTTTCTTTTAAGAGCCTGGAAAATTTCTTTTTCTGCCCCTTAACCCAATTCTTTGCTGCTATTACACATGCTAGGCACTCTTGGGTTGCCTTCCGTTTACTTTTGTCACTGTGTTTATTACCACTCGCCTTCCAACTCTACAGACCAGCCAGGAGCAAGCACTTGCAATTCTGAAAAATTCTGCTCTCTGTCATGGCACATACAGCCCTCTTTGCGTGGAGCATGCCGTTCCTGGTATACCTCTGCTGCTTAACGCCTAGCCTTTTCTCAAAGGGCAGGTTAGGAGGCACCTCATGAAGGTAGCCTTCCTTGATACTCTTTACCCTTCACTTTGATAAAGTGCTCTGTGTATATATTTTTGGTTTTAATGCATATTTGTTATACAGAATAGTGAGTTTTGGCATAGCATAATTTGATCACTCCCCCTTCCCCATTTCTCCCCGCTCCCGCTTCCTCTGTGTTTTTAGAGCTTCAATTCTGCATCCTCCACTCCTAACACACTCAGCAATTGATCAGAACCCTACGTTTGGATCCCTCTCCCCTTTTGTAGTACTGGAGATTAAACATAGGACTTTATGCCTGCCAGGAAAGTGCTCTACACTGAGGTACAGCCCCAGCCCTTTTTATTCATTTTATTCTATTTTGAGACAGAGTCTCACTAAGTTGCCCAGGCTGGCCTGGAACTTATGATCTGCCTGTCTCAGCGTCCTGAGATGGAATTATAGGCATGGTCCACCGTGCCCAGGTCTGTACCATTCTTGTTAAGAGACTGCCATTCCTATAGGGCAGGGGACATACTTCTTATTTCTCTATCTCCAAAGCTTCCAGGGTCTACGCATGGATTAAGACCTCAGGAGATGGCAGTTGAGTGAAGAATGAATGAATGGTGAAAAAAATTTAGGAAGTCAATGACGAGTAGCACTGTAGCACTTTATGTACTTCCTTTTTTTTTCAAGAACCTGGAAAATTCCTTTCCTACCCCATAACCCAATTCTTTGCTGCTATCACACATGCTAAACTGTCTTGGGTTGCCTTCCTCAATATAGATGCTAGACAGTTAAATGGCTTTTAGTCATGAAGGAATTTTTATTTCTTTAGCCTGGCTTGTTTGGACCTGTGACCCTATCTAGAGCTGAGGGAGCAATTTCTGTGGGTCTAATGAGAGATGACCTCATGTCTTTTTTTTCTGGCCTGAAGGCATAAATTTTGAACTTGGCCCTCCACCTCCATTCCAACCTTCTTCATTTGTTCTCTATCATAGTGAATGATATTTCCATCTGGCCACTTACATATGCAGTTAACACAATACTCTTTTTTCTGCATTAGCCCCTCTCATCCAAGTTGACCACCAGCTGTTGTCCAGGTCCCTAAGTGTACTTGGGATCTCTGCACTTACTTCCATCTCCACACCTATTACTAGAGTCCAGGGCCCTATCATCTCAGCAGAATTAGCACATTGGCCACCTAATTGATCTCCCTTTTCTTAGGTACCTCTCATTTCCATGCATCCTTCAACCTGCAGCTGGAAAATACAAATCTGATCTTAATTCTTCTGTGAAGTGCTTTGGTGGGTGGTTCCTACGGCCTTTAAGATATGGTTCAAACTTGATTGTACAAAGCTGCAGCTGTTTAGCCTCCTACTTGTCTCGCATCATCTACTGTCCCCTGGGGGTTATACGCTAAATATATTGAATTACCTGTTCTACAATTGGTGCAGACATCTTTTGCCCACTTCCTTAACTGTCAACTTCTGCTCATCTCCAAGGGCTTTGGCTTAGGTGTCATATCCTTTGGGAAAATGTCCTTGCTACTTCTCAGAGCTTTCCCAGGGCTTTTTTTTTTTTTTTTTTTTTTCCCTTATGCAGTAGTACAACATTAGGGTTAAAACCACAAGCAATGGTACTGAGTTATCAGACTTCAAATTTTAACTTGGTCGTTTTGTAGCTGTACTACGTAGGGCAAGTAAATTGTTTTATCTGCAACATGGGGATAATATTTCATCAGTCTGTTTTGAGAAATAAGACGATATAAGGTGCTCACAATTAAGTTAGCTGTTAGCTTGCTCCGCCGCCCCACCTCAGTCTCGGGATGAGGTTTATGTATGACTGTGATTTAACGCACACTTTTTTGTCTGGTCTCATCTTGTTTTCTCCTGGATCAAGCAGTCAAAACAAGTCAGATGCGATACTTTCAGTCACGACTTTCAGTCCAGTAGTCTCTGACTCTGAACGCCCCCAGGTGGTTCAAACTCTCTGCAGCAAAAGCCAAGCGAACTAGGACATACCATTCCAAATTTTCGGCGAATAAAGGTCTTTTCTAACCGAATATTCATGTTTATCAGATAACACCTTTTTAGCTTCATAACTTCGAGTTGTATCAGGTTTAATGAAGTGAAAAGTAGGATTATAAGAGAGTCTGTCCAGCTTCCTCCCCCATCACAACAATGGCATTGGTACTTACCCTTCTCGATTCCCTCTCAATAATGGTACCGTCCGCGGAGGGGAGAACGGGGAGGGACTCCGAAGTCCTCAGTGTTCGTAGACTGGTACTAGTGTACAACCACCCCTCCCGCTCTAACGCTGTGGTATCGCTCCCTACCTGCTGATTGGCTGCCAAGATCCCGCAGTCCGCCTCAGCCTACCGCTCCGCCCTCAGAACAGCTCCGGCCGCCGCCGCGCCGCCCGGCTCTTATTCCTTGTTTTCGGCGGGCTCTTGGGCCTCCGCGCCGCGGCCCTTAGTCATGTCGGGTAGGTGATTTCTTCAGCGAGCAGCGGCCGCGGCGTGAAGGGGCCTGGCGGGGTTGGGCCGCCTTCCAGCCCACCGGAGTTGTGTTAATTCTGTTTTAAAATTTTTAAATTAGTAAATACTTTATGTTCTCATTCTAACAAATATTCACTTTTTCAATTGCTTTGTTCTCATTAGTGTGTATTCTTTTTTCTAAACTGTTTTTATTATAAAATGTTATAGGAAGAGTTCATGACAGAAATGTGTGGATAAGTAAAGCATGAGCATTTTTGCAGCCAACATGCAAGTCAGACACAATTTTGTCAGCAATCTGCCTGAGAACCGGTGTGTCTGGTTCTCCGCTCCGCCTCAGATCTTTCTGCGAGGCCTCGGGCTAGTCGTCTCACCGCTTCGTTCCTCAGTTTCCCCAACCATGAAGTGGAGCTGGGCCTTCCTGACTCACCCATTCTTCAGGTGGGGGCCTTGACGCTCTGGGAGCCTTTTCAAAGGACATTGTATTATATGAAACCATATTTATCGTCGTCGTTCCTTCTGAAGTAACCACGTGGATTCGAGTTGGGCGCCTTTGCTTGTAATTCGGTTTCCTTTTCACCTGTCGTTCTCTACCCGCCTCCCCCCAACTTCTCCGTGTTTTGTGTCCCGAAAAAGCTTGGAAGTAAGCATTGCAAGTATTGTAAAGTTTTGTATGTATATGTGGCATTTCCCTTTCAAATACGGATCACGAAAAAGGCATCGGTCTCTTCAGGACAGCCAGTTTAGATCCAGCTGAACCAGACTAAAAAAAAAAAAGCTAGTGGAGGGCCTCTTGATGTAGTAGTTTTACCTGATCGAGGGCCTCTGTTGTTAGACGGTATCACAGGCGGCGAAGACCAACTATCCACTTGTTAGAGATCATCGTGAGAATTAGATATCACTTTCCTTGTTAGAAAAAGATTTCTTGGAGCTAAGTGGTTGGGGTGAAGCAGCCGTGTAGCAGAAGCTGTTAACATTTTTAAGGGCCAATTTATTAGTATTTTCAAAACCCCAGGGACCCAGTCTTGTAGAAGGATGGAAATGTGGCAAAAGAGGCAGCAGATGGAGAAGAGTCCAATTTAGCAAGGAAGATTGGACAGAATGACACTTTCCTTAGATTAAGCTTGTTAATAAGGGGCCAGACTAGCAGTCTTTTTTGAGCCTACTTTATGGAAAAAAACTAAACTGCATTGGATTTACCTCTTGATTTTCATTTAATTTTTGCTCAAACGGAGTAATTCCAAAGTAGATGTGTGTACATTTTGTACCAGGTACATAATTTGGCATGAGGTCCACTAAGGTTCCAGAAATTTTCATAGGAGTACTGAATTAGGGTGTATAACTTATGTTTAAAAATATAAAAATTCGACTTTCTGTTCTGGAGAAACTGACCGTTTCAGTAAATACAGTGCTCATTAAAATGATTTTTAACGTAATTACTGGTATAATAGGTTATTTTTGTAGGACTGGGTAGTTTGAGTGGAAAATTAAAATTTAGGGGTTTGCCTCTTGTGTAAAATTGAGACTTTTCTGTGTATCATTGTAGAAGCTGTACTAATCTGATCTTGAAATTAGCAAACACCAAATGTTTGTCCCTTGGTAATGTCTTTAATATCGAGATAGCTTTCAAGGAGCAAAGTACTGTTCAACATAAGCTTGGTTCTAGACAGTCAATTAAAACTAGAATCTTTACATTTTATTTAGCCATATAATATGTACATTTTGTAATGTGTGTATAAAAATACTTTTGACTTTGTCAAAATAATGCATTTGTTTAATGAATGTTTAATAAACTTTAAATTTCCCTTAAGCAGTTAATAACAAGTCCTTTAAGCATTCAAGACTGCACTTTTAAATTTAATCTTTCAAATTGACTCAACCACTCCTAATGCCTGGTAGGCCTGATTTATAAACCTAATAAAATGTAATCACTTAAGTAGTAAATCAGAACTAAATATTTTAAATGAGTCTGACTTCAAATACTGTTCACAAAGGTTATCTGATGTTTCAAGTTAAATCACAAGTTTATCAATTAAACAAAAATAAAAAAATCAAGATATTTTGTAGGTATCTTGAAAGTCCTGTATCTTCAAACACCAAAAAAATGTGAAACAGGAAAAGAGCAGGGCTGGGGATTCAGCTCAGTGGTAGAGCATTTACCTTACTTGTAAGAGGTCCTGAGTTCAATCTCTTACTATTTAGGGTTGGGAGGGGCTTAGGAGAAGAAAGGGCACATCCTTGCTGCTGCAATTGATATAGAAACCAGAGTGGTAAGGCATGGAGCTAACTTGGCAGCTACTCTGGAGAAGAGGGTATAGGTCTTGTTTAGAGATTTAGGTTTTGTTCAAGTAACTAGGGACAAGAGACAAAACCTTGACACTGTTAGAGCTGGGTAATGAGAATTGAAGCCCTTATATAAATCTTGGATTTATAGATTATGTGTTTGAAGTGAAGGAGTGAACTAGGAAAAAAATCTTACTTATCTCTTACTATTAGAGATAATCCTGGCTACTGAGTGAGAAGTCTTTACCTGATTTGTAACCAGGGACCATTGCTTCACACACTTGGATTATTTATTTAGGTTTTAGGGAATGTTAAGATAATTAACTGAAAAGTTGTTTCTGGGCTGATAAAATCCTTGGTGATCTTTGTGAAAACATGAGAAAACATTTTTCTGAAGAAAATGTCACAACTTAGATCACAAAGAATCTCAGAAAAAAGCCTTGCAAAAGATGAACTGAGTCTAGGGGTGTAAGTTGGTGATAGAACACTTGCCTAGCATGTTCAAGGCCACAAGTTTGATCCCAACATTGCAAAAGTAAAAATCACAGAAAAATTACAGAACACTGCATTAGAATGAGAGTAAATGATAAATGTGACTGGGGTCCCGATATACTTAAAATCTGAAAGTATATGTTTGATTTTTAAAAATCTAAATAATGGGAAATAATAAACATGGGAAAAGGCCACATAGATTTGAAAAGGAATTGGGAAAAGTAGGTTGAAGAGTAGAAGAAATAATGGATGAGATTGATGTAACTTGCCAGAATTAAATCAGAAGAATAAAGACGAGGGGCCAGGGATTTAGCTCAGCGGTTCGGTGGCCTGCCTTGCAAGCGCAAAGACCTGAGTTCAATCCCCGGTACCAAAAAAAAGAAGAAGAATAAAGACGAGGGGCCAGGGATTTAGCTCAGCGGTTCGGTGGCCTGCCTTGCAAGCGCAAAGACCTGAGTTCAATCCCCGGTACCAAAAAAAAGAAGAAGAATAAAGACGAAAATAAATGGAAGATTAAGAAATGTGGGAAATGGATTGAGAGTCTTGTTTAACAGCATGATTGAAAAGGAGAAAATGGGGAAAGACTAGCATAAATAATTGGGATTTTTCCAAAATAGATGGGACATTTCAGTCAAGCCCTCGTCTCAAACATGAAACAAAAATCATATCTAAATAGATCAGAGTGAAACTGCACATTATAAAATACCAGTAACATCCAAGGAACAAGATTAATAACCTCTGATAATTGGTTAAGGTTAATAAGTTTTAAGGATGGAAAGTAAATGATCCTTAGAGCTAGAGGAAAATAACCATTGATCCCAAATTTTCTGTCCAGACAAAACTATCATGTAGTTAGGTACTTCTGAAAGTCTGTGAATACCACTTTGAGGTATTTGCTGAAATAATAAAGATTAAATCCAGGGCTGGTAATGTAGCTCAGTTTTATAGCTATTGCCTAGCATGTGCAAAGCCCTGGCTTTGATCACTAGCAGTCGAAAAAAAACCCAGAAGGAATTTTTTACAAAACCAGTGTAAAAGAAAGAAACATGGTAAAAGGAGTATTGTCTGTATAGCACCAAATTGAACATAGACAATGAATAAATTTAGAGATTAAAAAGTGAAAGCAAAATAGGTGAGGTTTGTGATTGGAATTAAGGTATTAAAAGTAAGGTCTATGTTTCAGTGGAGGTTGAACTTTAATTTGAACTTTGTCAGGAAAGCATGTTAAAAATTGATTTTAGTCGTGAAAAAAATCAAGTAACAAAAATTGAAGTTGACTGTAATTTCGAAAGTAGTAAGAAAAAAATAAAAATCTAATAAAGGAATTAGAAGGAAAAAAAAACATGGTAAATAGAAAGTTCCAATTTAAAAATAAATGTTGAAAGTAACATGAAGATAAACCAGGCAGATACCACCACCCTAAAGGTGGTTGTATAGTGAGTAGTAGCCATTGAGTAATGTTAAAAGGAAATTCATCAGGAGCATATGTGTAGTTTTACATGTGTAATGGCCTCAAAGGATAGAAAACAAAAAAAGGACTAATTACAATAAATTGACAGGTCTGTAGTAAGGTGGGAAGTTTTCAAAACTTACCTCTGTATAATTAATAGAAACAATAATAGGACCCATTACTCCTTAAATCCCCTCACTCTGGGGGACTGAGGCTGGAGGATTCCAAGTTTGTGCCTAGTCTGCGTGGTTTAGCAAGACCCTGTATCAAAATAAAACTAAAAGGGATGGTGGTGTAGCTTGGTGCAAAGGCCTCAGATTTGATCTCCAGTACCACCAAAACAACCCAAAATAATAAGAAACATTGGTAAAATCTGAATGAATTTTATTGATGTAGAATTTACTCAAAATTTAGAAACTTGTCTTCAAGCATCTGTATAGGGGTTATGCCTCAAAAAGAAAAAAAAAAAGCAAGTCCTGACATACTAAGAATGATAAAATACTTTTTCTGGCTTTGGTGGAATGTTAGAAAAAAAGAATAAACCTGATACACTTGGAAATTTAAAAGCACTTCTAAATAATTTCACAAGTCCAAACAAAAGGCTTGAATGTCTTTTTTTTTTTTTTTTTTTTTTTTTTGAGGTTGGTATTAGGGATTGAATGCATGGTTTTACGTTTGTTAGACAAGCACTCAAGCACTGAATTATGTCCCTGGCCCTTTTTCTAATTTTGTATTTTAAGACAGGGTTTTGCTAAATTGACCAGGCTGATTTTGAACTTTCCATATTCCCATCTCAGCCTTCGAATAGCTAGGATTACTGGTTTATGTCACTGTGCCTGCCTAATCTTTTGTTTTGCCTTTTTTTTTGAGACAGGGTCTTGCTATGTAGTTCAGGCTGACCTTAAACTAACTGTAGTTGAGGCTGGCTTACAGCAATCCTTCCTCAGCCTCCCTGGTGTTGGGGTTACAGGCATGTACCACTATGTCTGGCTGTGTCAAATAATCTTATTTATTTATGTATTTATTTATTTAGTACCGGGGATTGAACTCCGGTCCTTGAGCTTGATTGGCAGGTGGCTGAACCACTGATCTAAATCCCCGGCCCTGTGTCAAGTAAAAC